CTCAGGCTTAAAAAGTTTTGGTTTTTTTCACCAAGGGGAAAAGTACCCTGAATGCTTTTGGTAATGTATTAAATATTAATTTGTTTTTAAAATACTTTATCTTGCTAACAGTTAACGGCTTTCTCTCATCTTTCAGACAGGCCAAATCTCTTTTTTTTTTTTTTTGCCATTTTAAATGATTTTCAGCTTTTGAGGTGGCGATTAGCATCTTGGTCAGAGCCATAAGCACAAACAAAACCTGGTCATATAGCATATCAGGTCATACTGGTATGTGAAAAACTGTGCTTATTCTGTTTTCAGCTTTTATTTTGGTTTGCCAAAACAAAGAAACATCTGTTACCCAGGGGAGAGCTGACAGACACACTGATTTTCAAAACCAAAATATGATGGAGGCTGGTGCAAAACCAGACATACACAATGAAGCCACAGCCCACTGTCCTGCAAGCTGATATCAAGGCAAGGAAATGTGGAACAAAGTGCACTGCAGTGTTTTAAGGGTGAAAAAAAGAGCTGATAGGTCTAGCTCAGCTGCTGGAGTAATGTTTTCTGATCTTTGCTCACAAAAGATGATTTAAGGATGTGAAAGATTTATCCCCCCAAAACAGTGTGTCAGAATAATGCATGCTTCTGCTGACTCCATGGAAGGCATAGGAATTGTGCCAATCCATCATGCTGATTATCACTGTTCACTCAGTGTCTACCACACCTGTCCTTTCAAAAGGTGAAAAAACCCCTCTTGGTTTTGTGAAAGGTGTTTTTTTCCTTTATCTCAGTCTTAAAAATAGTGTGAAATGTATACAATTTGTATCCATACTTGGAGACGCAATGCAAGGGGAAGCATCACTCCCGGACTCCAAACTTCTTTAGAGGCTTGAGAAAAACCTGAGCCATTATGAAACACAAGTGAGCAGAAGCTGAGTGTTGCCCTATGCTTTGATTCCCCTTGTACCAAACAGAGGTTAAAAGACTACCGAAATACGTACTGGGGGCTTCTGCACTACAATACATACATCTCAAGCACAGACATGAAAGATCTTACAAGAATGAGGCTTTGGTAAAGCAACAATTCTGTATTTAAATGATGATTTGTTCGTATAAGGCTTTCAAGGGGAATCCTGCATAGCAGCTGGTTCGCAGCAAGCTCAACACAAGCCAGAGTGCACATTTTATCCTACCATGCTTTAAGAACACGGCAGCTCTTTCTGACTTCTCTTTTCACAACTCAAGAGTTTCTGCTTTTCCAAAAAGTCTGAAAGTGTGGACTTAAAAAAACATGAACAGTTTTAGACATTTTAAAACTCCAAATGAGGGGAAAATAAGACAGGTTAAATAAAAAAAAAACCCCACATACATGCACATATTTGATTTAAATGATGAAATCCTACCCATGAAAATAAATAAGGTATATACACAAGAGGTGGTCAAAATGATAGCCCTGTTGTCCCATTAATTATATTTATTCCAAAAGCCTAATAATGTTATCTTTGGTTCCAGCTTCAGCAGCCTATAATTTAACACAAGCACCCTTTTTTGGCACGTGAATCAGGTACTAGCACTGTCTCTTTCAATCTTTTCTGCTTCTAAATTAGAAAACCCAAATGTTGTTTTTCTTCAGATACGAAAACACAGTCAAGGTCCCTGTAAAAAAAAAGAGCAATTAACTTGGCAAGAAAACCACTGTACAGGAGTCAAATACAGTACTTGAAAAGGGGTCTATAACCTGAAACTGTTCCTACAAGTGACATCCCTTGTTTAGACTAAAATGACAGAATGCAGCCCCAGAGATCCATGACAAATAAAAAATAAGAAAAAGTCATGTAAGATATTCCCCACCCACCAATTTGTTAACTGGACTTTTATTGCTGCAAGGTAGGAAGGCTTGGTGTTCTGATAGCTCTGATACTGGAAAGCTGGCTCCGTCTCTCTGCCATCTTCTCTCTCCCCTAAAAGCCAATGAACATCAGCACAGATTTTCTTTTCCATTTCCCCCATCACTCAAATGACAGAAGTTTTACGAATTCTCCAAATAAAATTCAAGACAGAGTTGCCCTAGCTGAAAAGATAGAGAGAAAGCTAACATTACGGGTATGGAGTTGATAAGTATTTTAAAATACAGAAGCATCTTGGCTCTGACCCTTCTCTAAAATCAGCTAAGATTTTGCTAACTCGGTAAAATTAACACACAACTGACTGTGCAACCCAGCAAAGATTAAATCATCTCACTTGCACCACAGAAACCAGATGAGGCATGTGTAGTAAGTGACATATTAAATGCAATTATAAAACCCTACCAAAGTGATGTTAGTGACCTGACACATGACAAAGAAAACCTCTATGAGGCAGTGCAGAATCCTGGTTGGAAGATGTGCTGGTATTATTTCTCTGTTGCATAAATGAGATACAAAAATACTTCTTAGCCGTCAGTACAAATCCCATAATTGAAAGAAAGTGTTGGAAATATTCAACAAATTATTAACATGCAAAGATGGGAATATCTTCCAAGAGAAGCAGAGCTACCCACTGATGCAGTGATCCGCAGTTGCTAGGATGGGGTGAACAGGTTAGGAGGTCTACCTTCCTGCATTGCCCACCTGTCCTAGCACACACACAGTGCCACCAGTTGCCATAGGCATGTTCCCATTTTTCACATCTGCAGGAATACTTTTCCAGTATTAACTATGATAAAACTAAAGAATGAGGGAACCACATGGCTCAAAGATACTGCAGGGAGCGCCACCCCCCCCACCCCCCCCACGCTGGCAGTACCAGTGACCTAGATCAGTGTTCATCCAGCTCTTCTCAAATGTCCCCTGGTGCTGGGGTCTCTAGCACCATCACACACAGACCCTCTGACACTTGTCTCTCTTCTCTGTTGCAAAGTTGTTTCTCAAAATCTAATCTACGTTTGCCTTACTGTAACTTCCTGCTCTTTATCCGACTCACAGCAGACAGATCCCAGGCTATTCCCTTCTCTCCAGCAGCCTTTTACACCCTCTAGGGTTACACAGGCTAACCAAGAGACACAGTGACAGCTTCTATGATTTCAACTTGCTGTCCTACATCTTATTTTCTAAATTCCTTGTTGTTTTATTGCTAAACTTTGCCCTTCCTTATATTATTTTTGAACAGTTGTGCCCCAAAGCAGACACAAATACTCCAGCTGAGTCTTTAATAGTACCTGATACCTCAAAAGGATTAATTCATGCATTGTATGTGCAACACTATTAACATCCAGCAAGTCATCATCTTGCAAAAGAACATCACTGTCAGCTTGCATCTCGCTTCTGACACTCTAACTTTCAGACTACAGAAGAGGGGCATTCCTTAGGAGTTATTACCTGCTTGGGGAGTGAACTGGGAAACCTAAATTCTGCCCTTTTAACTTCCCTTGTGGAGCTGCAACCTGCATGACAGTATGGTCCCCAGTGAAAGCCAAGAAAGACTGTGGTAGGGTCACCTCATCCACAGGAACTGCTTTAAAGGAATGCTTAACTCCACCTTTCTCCATCAGCCTCTCACTCCACACTTGATGGCTAAGACAAGCACAGCTGAGGACAAATAAGCATCCCGGCCCCCAAACCTGACCCCCGGCTCTTGACTTGATATAACCTAGCAAATGTTCAACCGACTGGTCCACACCAAACAGCTCAGCATCTCCCCAGGAACCAGAAAATGACAGACCTATGTGATTTGGTCTCTGCTTGTGGCAAAGCTCTGCAGACAACAGGTTAGGGATGGCTCTTCCCAAAAGACAACCCTCACGGATGGCAAAAAGGATTATTTTTTCTCTTCTTTTCCCTCTGACTTGTGTCTGACTTTTACAGTGAATCTGGAAAGGAAATCCTTCTTTGGGCCACAGTGCTGAGGGACTCTCCTCTGGTCTGACCCTGTAGCAAAATAGCGATTTGAAATAGCAATCACCTGAAATAGCACTGCTGAACAGGTGTTGTAGTTTAAGCCCAGCCAGTTTCCCTACAAGTCCTTGATCAGAGTAAACATTACTTAGCAACAACTAAAAACATCAGTGTTACCAGCGTTGTTCCCAGACTAAAGTAAAAAAACCACCACTGCACCAGCTACTAAGATGGAGAAAAATGCTACAGCTGAACCCAGGACAATGGGACTTGAGTAACTATTTTCACTTTTGGGGAATACTTTATTACTGATTGAGAACCTCTGTTTATAGAGAAGACAAGCAGTAGGCAGTGGTCCGAATGAGACACGGTGTAGCTGTGGAGCTCCCTGCCATCCACTCAGCAATCCCATCATGTAAGAGGGGGAAAAAAGGTGTGAAAAAAACCACTTGTACTCCTACTTAACATTGTTAGCAAAGGCGAAACATAAACACAGGCTTTTTACATGCCATTGTCAAAGGATCCAGGGATTTTGTTTACTTATTGAATAAGTCAGCTTGAAAAGCTTTTTTTCTGCTTAATGGCACTTTCAGCTGCCATCAGTGCCCTTGTGAGTAGCACAGACAGGTGTCAGACATGGAATCAGCGATGCCAGAGAGACAGAAAGCAACCATTTTCTGAGCATGCTGTTTCATTCTACAACAAAGAAAGTTACACTGTTCACAGAATTATTCTTTACCCATCACTTCTCAGCAAGACAGCCAAATACTATTTCTGTCTTTTCTCTTTCTCTGTACAGTTCACTTTTGTTGCTCCTGGGGATTAGGAAACAAATTACAAATTGACTGGTTTGAACCCTCAACACATAGAGGGGTAATACTGCTTAACTGCAGGTAAGTTGCTGGGATGCAGTTCTCCATTTTAATACATTCACTTTCATTATAAAATTAATTACTTGGTGACACTAAAATAACCAATAAAGATAACTGCACTTTCACTATTTAAGTGTATGTTAACATGCAGAAATGACACACAGTAAAAACATCTGAACATGTTTAGTTCTGGTTGTAGGCAGTGTTCAAATTCTTGGGTTTTAACTTTGAAAGGTTAAAAAGTTAAATTGTATTAATTTGGTGATCTGCTTACATTATCCAGTAGGGATGTTTTTTGAACCATTACAGAATGTCTCTTGTGCTGTCCGAGATACAAGCCAATGAAATCAAGATGAGGACTTGTTATAGGCCAGAATCAATTATTTCTGCTGGGAGAAAAGATCAGTTTGTGATAAGAATTACAATGAAATAACAGGAATAAGAATTTGAGACATTTTCGCCTCACAGTAGCATAATATTTTCTTTGAAAAGTTTAAATACAGCCCTTATTTCATATGGGAAACATAAAAACACCCACTGCAATTTTCAGCATCCAAGTTGTTTACCCTTTCTCACTGAAAACACCAATGAATTAATTCTCCTTATTCTGCATGCCACATGTTTAATCTCTCAAGTCTGATTATCAGCTACCAGAGTACTTTACACTAGCAAGGACTACTCACAGCCTGCTCATTGAAAGAAACTGCCCAAAAACTTTAATAAAGACTTGAAACAGCAAGGGTTGAACTCATCTGCCTTTGTATCCATAATAATGCCAAATACCCTGTCTTCAGCCTTTACATGGAATTTCGCATCTCATGGACCTCATTGGAAGCAAAGGAGATACTTTTGCCCCTCTATTCCCAGGTTCTCCCATAAACTTACAACTGCCCTAAGGAAGTGATCAGCCAGAGTCCAACATTAAAACTACATCAATTCTACTACAGCTTCTACTTTTTTCTCTTTTTTGTTCCACATAGTGAGAACATCATCTTTTCTTAAATCATAACATCTAGGTGCTGGTTAAGTGACACTTAGAGCTGTTTTTAGCAAAGACTGCTAACTTCTCAGGTTCACATCTCTCCTGCACTGTGTGACTCCTGCATGAAAGGCAGCAATTGATGTTGTTTCACACACACCATGGATCCAGCCCTCGAACACAAAGACAGTTTCTGTTACTTCCCGTGAGACTTCCCCCAGATCCAGCACAAGTAGCACCTCCTCAACTCAATCACCCACAAGTTTCTAATGAGATTTTAGCTTTTTATGTCCCTTCAGTCTGCAAGAAATTAGTCTAATCTTTTCTTTCATGTCCATTTTGAAGTGATTCTGCTGTTTTCCAGGCTACTGTGTTTCGTTTTTTTATGCTCTTGGGCATGGCTCCACTGCAGAAACTCCTCTATCAAGGATCAGGACAAACCCTGCACTTGCACTGCCTTGCCCTGTGCTAAACTGGGAGACAGAGTTTATGGGTGGTAACAGGGCTGGGTCAAGCCCTCATTGCTGAAGCTATAGAAACTTTAATACTAATATATGTATGTATGTCTCCTGACAGTGTGCTAAGATAACAATGAGAACTGGGTGTAAAGGGGCACTTCCTTTCCAGCTGCATTTCAGTTTTGGAGAGTGGTGGCAGAGTGGGATACTCTTTGCAATATCCTGGGTGGATTGAAGATACCGACTTTATTAAAATTTTAAATACCTTTTAATTAACAAATTCTTTACAAGTCACTGTCAGCAGTGGTTTCCATGGACGCTGTTATTGGATATTGCAGAGCACAAAGCAGAGCTGCAGCAGCAGAGGGGAAGGCCATAGAATCACATAATGGCTAGTGTTGGAAAGCACCTTAAAATCATCCAGTTCCAACCCCCCTGCCATGGGCAGGGACATCTCACTCTAGACCATGGTTTTGAAGGCTCTGTCCAACCTGGCCTTGAACACTGCCAGGGATGGAGCATTTACCATTTCTATTTACCATGCAGTGTGCTGATGGGGAGAGGAACCACTACTGCCCACCAGGACCTTGGCCAAAGGGGCAGAGTTAAGGCTGGTTTCACAGCCCTCTCTCCTCAGCAGGGATCACCTCTCAGGAAGGCATCAGGAGGGTGGTGCTGGATGGAAACACGCCTCCTCCATCCACCCACCGCTAGTCCCAATGGGTCCTCAATATAACCCCACTGGCATGTGATCAGGCTGCACTTTCTGTGGGAAGGACAGCCACATTCAGCCCTGCTCCACACCCAAGGAACATCCCCATAGCTCTTCTAAACCAGAATGGGTATAGGTTTTCATTTGTTCATCTCAAACATTCAGCCTACAGTAGGTCTACTTTCTGATGGGAACGAAAGGCAATTCTTTAATTAGATTTCAGAATTGCAACACTTGAGGTTAAATCATGCTTAGAAAGATGAAAATTGAAAAATGATAACTAATGGGATTTACAGATGATTTCCTTTAAAATTATTATTACACACGTGTATGCCAAGGACCTTTCCATCGCTGTTAAAAATATTCCTTTTAACAGCAGACAATGAGAATATATCCACTTGCATAGAAAGATGAATGAAAAAGCTTCTTCTAAGCCATTTTTTTAATGGAAATAAAAATTCCCAATTATAAGTAGAGCCTACAGTCCCTTCCACCTTGTCCTCCATTTCAGATTCGGTATTTCTTTTGCAACTGAAAACTAATGTCACAACTAGGTAACATGGGGCCACATACCTGGGTTCTGACCTAAGCAACAACACTGCTGAAATCACAGCTCAGTGGCATGTAAGTAAAGTGAAACACATTTCAAATATATGTCCTATTTTAGAGTAGTATTTCAACTCAAATTTAATACTGTTTAAAAAACTTAGAACCCTAATGCATACTACAAAAAAGCCAGGTAGCATGCTTGTAGCTAACTTTTGCATTGTCATGGGTTTTCTTCAATAGTTCTAACAATTCAGAGAAATTGTTGCTTGTGTTTTAACATTACACCAACAGGAATAATTATAATCTCAGGGGTTTTAATTCCTGTAAATCCAAGCACTCTCTTTTGCATCACATCTCTTCTGACACAGCCCCACAGTCAACTGAAAAATCCCTACTGACTTTAACAGAAGCACACACAGATTCCAAATCTGCTTCATGAAAAAGATCCAATTAGTATAAAGATTGAACCCATGAAAATATTCTGGCTGTAATGCAAACACTGCCCAGTGCACAAGGCTTTTTGCACTTCCGTCTTGCTCAGTTAAGTTCATCACTGTGAGATCCTGTTCATTTCCCACCTCCAGTTTGTGGAAGGAAGTCCACAGCAACTGCAAGGGCTGAACTACATGGTCAAACAAAGGTATCAAGCACAAGCATCTGTACTGTTGACAGAACTTGCAAACACCTCTCTATACATGTAATTTAACTTCAGGGCTTGTCCTTTTGCAAGTGATATGTGGAAACTGCTGTGGATATGATGAAATCAGATGGAAATTCTCCACTAAAGTACTTATCACACGTCAATAACTTGAATAATTGTTTTGTACCTCAGAACAAATTACCATGTGTCTTACAAGGGTCCCAAAAGTCTTCTGAAGGCAAGTATTTTAAGTTTTGTTTCAAATGATCATCAATAACATCTACCATGAATTTCATGATCTTACTTGCTCACTGAAGGAATTAGCAACAAATTTAAAAGGAGACAGAACTCTGTTCTGAATCCACAGAATTGGATTGGAGAGGTATGTTTGATGACATAAATACAGCATGGTACAATATAATAAATAACTTGGAACAAGACAAATAGCTATTGCTTTTCACACAGATTGCCTTAAGAAGCGTCCTAAAGAACTGGCAAAAGAAAACAACAAAAACACAATGACACCTTTTACCTAGAAAGACACAACTCTTGCACTTTCCCAGAAACCAGAAGTCACCAGTGCATGGCAGCTGTGACCCATCATATACAGCAGGATAATTACTGCACTTGCAGGCAATGGGTACCCCTGCCCCTAAAACCACTGGCAACCTTGGCAGAAAAGAAAAAGACAGGTTGTTTTGAGATTAAATCCTTGTCCCTTCATTCTCTTTAGAACATGACAGACTAGAAGCAGCTGGTATGGCTTCCCTGTTCCCTTGGCAGAGGAAGATAACAAAATCTTGACACTGCTCTCTCACAGGCATCTTTTTCCAGGGCTACATTTATTTCCAGAAAGAAATTATTTCCCTAAAAGCTTGACATTGCTGCACTAGAAGAAAGCAGTGGGGTTTGCCAGGAATTTCACCAGCTCTATGCTCCTGCTTCGATGGTGAACTGGTAAAAGGACAAACTACCTTCTGAGGAGCCACAAAGCCCTGTTGCAGCTTCCATTTTACACATGTGAATGTGCTGAGTCATTAAAAAAAGGTACTGCTTCACTAGGTGAGGCAGTATTTGAAGGTTCTGGAGCAGAGATTATTTGGAAGTTAGAACATATATAATAACTAGAGGTAAAGTTATGATGTTCAACAATAACAAACTGATTTAGTGCCGGTGCCACCCCAGCCCCAGAAAGAATGCCTCTGTGGCTGTGTGTCTACAAGAAAAACTTACCTGTTTAGTCTCCTGAAAATTTAATAATCTGCTGCGTAGCAGGGACTCTCTTGGGGTGCATCCTCTTCATTCACAGACTCTGACAGGGATGGTCTAATAGTATGTTTATCCCAAATTACTAATGTTTTCAAATCACAGTGTTAAAAAGCTTTCTTGCTTCTTGTAGCAGCCAGCAAAAATGTTAACTCAGGAGTTTATTCTACAGTGGATTATAAATGACATTTAGTAACATGATGGATGTATCCTGGCTTTGCAGCATAAAGATGATCTCAGAATACAAGCCTTATTCCTTGTTTTCACTACTACGCTGCACATGGAGCAGTGTTGTCAGCAGTCTGTCTCCAGTATTTTGATTAATAATGTTAATGTAGTCTTCTAAACTGAGTTATTGCTCATATTTCTGATCATATTTGTGCTGGTAATATCTTGTTTTTATTTAAACATTTACGAAAGCATTAGTTTGTGGCTAACAGGTTTACTTTTAGAGGCCATGTTGTTTCATAATGAAGGCAAGATTACGTGGATCAAAAATTACAACTTGCTTTCTTTTGGTTTTAACTGACAAAATATCTTCTGGAAATTATTTTAAAATTCACCTTAATCTTCATTTTTTCTTCAAACATACAAATAGGAAGTCTTTGAACTCTCTTGCTGTCATTATGTCACAGAAGGTATAAATTTCCCAATCAAGAACTGGTATGGTTTTGGGGATTTTTTGCAATATGCTTCAAATGAAGCACTTCCAAACCAATGACATCTAATGGCCCATCAGCAAGCCTTGTAGCTAGTGTGTTTCTATTCAACACTCAAAATGTGCGATACGCAGACCGATGCAGTGGTAACTTTCAGCCTCCTTGAACAATTAGGGTTGAGGACACAAGTCAGGACAGGATTTGTAGGA